TTATGTCGATGCTTGGCAAGCGAGCAGGCATTTCTCCTGATGTTAAATGATTATCGCTGCCCTTGGGCGTCCAGAATACCCGCGAGCTTGCAGATGCGTTGACAAACTTTAAAACATGTCTATAAGTATATTTTTCTTCATTGCCTAGAGTATAGACAGAATTAAAAAAGAAATTAAAAGTAAAAAAGTAAAATATCAATCTATTAATGTCCCGGTAACAGGGCGGCCACCACGCGCCCCCTGGGTACTGACCAGATGAAACGCGAAGGTACAACACTTCCAGTTTACGCCGGTCTTCTGTGAGGCTGTGGTACTTACCCGGAGGAGCCTGGCCCATTCGTGCAATGGGCGAAACTGTTACGTGACCCTACTGACACGTCCTTTATTCTTTTAATAATACAATCTCTCGCGTGTTTTAAACTATCAGTTATGTTTTATTACATTAAATTAATTCAATAAAACAAAACTAATTGCGTTAAAAAATATATTTGTGTATTTAAATAGAAATACTAATTCAGTAATGTAACCAAAATTATATCAGTTGTATTTCGTTCACGTACAGAACGCCTTAAATCGCTACCCGCTCACCTTCAGAACTTTGCGTCAGGGCTTTAGGTCGGGTCACTTGGGAGCTTTTGAAACGTCACAGCCGATGTGAAAAGTTAAATAAACTTTAGTTATTCGAATAATTTATCACTTTTTAACATAGCTAGAGAAAGGTCACAGTGAATTTCACATGTACCAAATCATACAAAAACATTTCACGCAAATCGCTTCAAGTTATTTAAACATTCTTAACTTTTTTACTCTTATTAATAGATTACGGTTTAATTTAGTCGCGTACGATAAGTGTATCAGTGATTAGGAACTCTGTAGCAAAGTTAAAAAATTGTCCTTAACACAAATACATACTAAAAGTTTTCACATCATAAACTGGGACATTGCAATTTATATAGATGGTAGTAAATAATATTAGGTCTTTTTTACCCATGAAATTGCAGTTTTGTGTGAAATAAGTTGAAGTATTTATTAAACTTACAAAGCTAATCAAAAAACAAAAAAATGACTTTGTAAAAAAAACATGTTTTTAAAATGAAACTAATATGAATTTAGAATTCCCGTAATATTTCCATTAGTGGCTGGTTGGATTTAAATTTCAGAGTTATCTCAAAAGCCGACGGCAGCGTATACGTATTGGTGGGATGTTCTCGTCTCGGCGTGAATTACGTGGTGTGGTGTCTTCATTACTCTTTGCTATCTTTTTTAATTCAATCTCTCTTCCAGATATAAGTATTTTAAAGTAATAATACAGATATTGAAAAAAGCGTATACAGTAAAATACTAATTGCAGTAAGGAACTTCTCTAGAGATCTTAACATGTCTATAAGTATATTTTTCTTCATTGCCTAGAGTATAGACAGAATTAAAAAAGAAATTAAAAGTAAAAAAGTAAAATATCAACCTATTAATGTCCCGGTAACAGGGCGGCCACCACGCGGCCCCACTGCGTTTTGGCGGACTTCACATACCTACGAAATATTTTTTTTGTTAATTATTTCGAAAATATGCAGGTTTCCTCACGATGTTTTCCTTCACCGCTGAGCACGTGAAAATTCAGCACTTAAAATTAACAATTTCATTGGTGCCGGCATCGGAGATAGAACTCATGTTGCTCGAGTACATCGAATTAAATACGAGCGCCTGGAACTATCACGGCTCTTATTAGTATAGAATATTATTATCATTATGGGGGGATTATCATTATATTATTATTTTTATTATCTTACCATCAGGGGAGCTTCCTGCTCGTTTGCCGCTTTTTCGCATTAAAAAAAATGAAATTAGTTTGCAAGACAAAAATTATTTATATCTATTGTACTAACATTTATTTTATTTGTATTTATTAACGAAATAAAATTTGTCGATTTGAAGGCGTAAGGATTTTATTTAGTCCGACACAAAACGACAGATCCACGCCAAAGATGCGATAGAGCTGCTTAATCTGTTTGTCCATCCGTTCTTCAAATGAAACGCTTCGTTTTAGTACAATTTTTAATGAGTTTTATCCGCCCCTTTGTCCCTTGCACAGTTTTTCTCAGTAGACATCTTACTAAAGTCTGCTCTCTGTTTATTACGCGTAGATAAACTTTAACAAAGGATGCTAATAACGACGTGGCTCATTGGTCCTGAACTGAATTCGTAGGTGTTGATTTATTTACACAGACGGCTTTGCTTTTATTGTCTTCGTACAGTGTGTCATGACCTTTGGCTCCATAAAACTGTTCCGAGCAGTTATGAAACTTCCCTACCTGGGGTAGGGAAATTTAGGTAGCTCCACAACAGTGTTCGCTGTTGCACGAATGGGAAAGTCCGTCCGGGTTAGTACCACGAACTCACACAAGACCGGAGTGAAGTAGAAGTGTTACACTTCTGCGTTTCGTCTGGTGAGTGAGGTAGTCGGGGCTCACTTTATTGAAACATAGCAACGCATCCTTACGGGTGTTGTAAATGTCCATAGGCGGCGGTACTTAAAATCAAGTGAACCGCCAGCTCGTTAGCCCCTTTCTCACATGTAAAATAAAGAAAGAAACGCACATTAGTTTTATTAAATAAAAATTAAATCCTTGCGCCGTTGGGATTAGAAAGGTGGGTAAGGAAATAGACTTACATAAATACGCTCGTAGAACATTTTCCTACTTCTGGGGCAGTCGAGTCGAGATACTTAATGTTACTCAGTTATAATAATGAACCTACTGGAGATCCATATCTAATTACTGGATTCCCGAGCGATTGCTAAATTTGAAATGGTAATCACTTGGTTGTGAAACTATTAAAACGCTTCAAAGCGCCCCCGAGAGTCAAATAGGAAGCTGCCCTGAAAAGGCCAGTAGCGTGTATAACATTATTCAAATGAACAATATTAAGTCATTCAAACTTTTGTACATAACTCCATGACAAACCTATGTGCTTGATTGAATCAAAATCGAATAAGAAAACAACGTTGACGATTTAAAAACCTTAAAATAAGTGTTAAAATCTTTTTTTCTTAATAAAATTTACATCGTTCAGTTCCTAGGTGAAGAAAATAGACTAAACCTTTTTTTTACTTTACTTAACGGTACCTTGAATTGAAAAAATAACGTTGTAGGATACGTTGCAAATAAAAAACAAAGGAAAATTGTTTTGTTTTGAGGTAATTATAACCTCCCCGGGTGAATTGCTAACACTTCACCAAAGTTTCATTGCAGATAAAAGAATGTTTTGGTCAAATGTAATATGAAATAACGTAAGTTCCCATTATAAGGAAAGATTTTTTTTCTGTGGAACATTCAAAAATTCGAAACGAAAATATATTCGATGTTAAAACAGTTTGCCACGTACGAGACAATGAAACAGTTCATCACATCGTGATGCCCTCACCCCAGCTCGAAATATCTTGGTATAAAACAATGCTGGGTGTGATTAGTATGATACATACTATTCTTTAAATGCATATACTGGCCTATTTGAAGAAAAGTTAGGCTTCATTTCACATTAGTTGTTAAAAAAAATTTCATCAATCGTCAGTAAATTCTCGAAGTCAATTTTCAGATAATTTCAATAGATAACTTATTGACAATTGAAAATTGTCCAGACTTGAATATTTTGAGTTTGACGTTTAGTATTCAACATAAGATAAACAATAGTGACGATAATAGTATATTGACTAAAATATTTCTTGTATCTTGTATTAACTGATGTTTTTGCTTTCAGTCCCAAGATTATCAAAGCTTCATCTGATGCAGAACCGGTGGGCTAGCCAGAACATACAAGAACATTCAAGTCATACAAGAAACCAACTGAGCCACGTAGCACTCTTCATTGAATCACAAATGTACTGGTCCGTCCGGGGAAGTACCACCACAGTTTTTAACTGATGTAGTGCCATGTAACGGTGTTCTCTGTTGCACAAATGGGCAAGACCGTCCGGGTTGGTTACACGACGTCACAGAAGACCAGCGTGAAAAAGAAGTGTTACACTACTGCGTTTCATCTGGTAGATGAGGTATCCTGAGCCCAATTTATTGATACTTGTTTGACATCGTTTTACATAAAAAAAAACATAGAAACTCTTTGAAGCCTACACCATATTTTAATTATAATTTTAATAAATATATTAACATTATAACTTATTTTGGTGCTATTCTCTGTGCTTAAGGTGAAATCTAAAATATTTCGTCGGTGGGAAGATAGCTGTTTAGCCCAGTGGCTAGAGTATTGTGTGCGTAGCCCGAGAGACGTATATTCAAATCCTCGCATCGGCGAAAACTTTCCGTCCACTTTTCTTCAAATTTAAATGCTAACAAAGCCTTCAGGAATGTATTTAAATAGTTAGTATTTAGCACAGTTAAGATTACAATATTTTATTGCGTAATCAATGTTTATTACTTTAAACAGTTTTATGTGCACTGTTAACAATTACGGCCTAATTTTTTTTATAGAAAAATTATACTATATAAAAAATTAATGTTTTAAAATTAACGTAAGTACGTAAATTTTTCTTCACTCGAATGAAATTGGTTTTTTTAAGCTCTTACAAAAGTTTTTTTTTATGTACTTCTCTGTTGTTTTGTTAGTGGGTATAGACGCTAATCTTAACGCTTTCCGCATTGAGGTGCTATACAATTCAAAAACAATATGAAACAACTTTTTGAGTTCTATAATTCAGCGGTCCACGTGACGCGTCCCCCCGCGCTATTACAATATGGCGCTACTAGCTTGGCGGAACGCCAGACGCGGCGTCGTTTGCGTTTATTTTGAGAAAGCATAGACCGAGTTTAGTTGACGCCGCGATAACCTACAAGATCGCTTCATATTGAATTTATTCCAATATATTCCTTTCCAAAGGATTTATACAGAAGTTGTTGCGTTATTAATGCAAACTGATTTTATGAACTGTGAAAATTAAGTTCAATGAAAGTTTATTGTCTGTGGCTATTGTTTTTAGCGGGAAACGAAGAATGTTGTATGATAAAAATCTGTTGAAGTATGTGTAAAAGTTTTGTGTTCGTGTATTTATATAGTGCTTCTCGTTAACATTTAAATATAATTTTTTACAAAGTTTGCTCTTTCTCATTAATAATCGTTAATACAAGTAAATATTATGTGGTCAAATGGGTTTCCTTATAGTATTTATTATAAGAGTATATTTTCATAAATATGTATATGGATTAACAGCGCTGGTCACAATAATTAACGTTTTGACGACTAACCTTTATTCTTCTTACAACAACTTGAATCTGTAGATAATAAAACATATTAACACTAATTTAAGTAAAATGCCTCTTGTACTAAGTAACATGCTGCTTACATCAGAAAATGCGGTTTTAGATTTTCGTGAAATAGGTGATTTCTGAAAATTCTTTTCTTAAAACTTAGATGATTGTTTATAAATGTAATGGACATAATTAACAGTTAATTTCAAATCCGGGTAGGGATTTCAACGAAGTTATTAATCAAAATCTCAAGTCTTATTTCAATTTTAACAGTTTAAATAAGAACAAAAGCCAATAATCTTATCCTTTAAACGAGCAATTCTTGTATACATATATATACTAGCTGCTGCCCGCAACTACGTCTGCGTAGAGGGGTGAAAATTTAGGGTTGTATGTATTTTTGTATGCTGTATCATAAAAATATAGAAATAAAAAAATTTATACAAAAAGTAAAAAAAAAATTTAAGGGTGGACTACCCCTAACATTTAGGGGGATGAAAAATAGATGTTGGCCGATTCTCATAGATACCGGATAAGCACAAAAAATTTCATCAAAATCGGTCAAGCCGTTTCGGAGGAGTATGGCAACGAAAACTGTGACACAAGAATTTTATATGTATCACATATATATATATATTTATATATGTCTGCGCTACAGACAAGTTAAAATTATAAATGAATTTAATATTATTAATATGTATAAATTAACGTGTAAACCATAGACTGTCTTTATACTTGTAACACTCGCGTTGGAAGTCGACCGTTTATTTTAAATATATTGGCTCAGGATGGTTAACGACACACATTCAATCATACATTCGCACCGACCTTCCAACAGTAGCGGACTCACATTCGAATCCAAACTTAATTGTTTTAGTTGAAATTATATTAATATAACACGTTCAGAAGCATTATTTCTTCATCCTTGTTCTATCCTGAACAATATATATATATATATATAATCTAAAATATATAATATAAAAATATTATGCATATTTCATTACGCTGTAATTCGTATCTAAATATATAGCATCGAAGCATGGAAATCGTTGGGCTCCCTTGGTGTGGACGTGCTTACTAATCTCTTCAACCGTATCTTGAACACTGGAAAGATGCCGAATCAGTGGCGTTTCAGTTTTATAACCCCTATTTACAAAGGGAGGGGCAGTGTTCAGGATTGCGGTAGTTATAGGGGGATCAAAATCATGTGCCATACCATGAAGCTCTTCGAGCGCATCATCGATCTCAGGCTTCGCCGAGAGTGTGCTGTCTCTGAGTGTCAATATGGGTTTCAACCAGGTTCAGGCACCATGGATGCCATTTTTGCTCTCAGAACTTTGATGGGGGCTTACAGGGAGAGAAGGAGAGCTCTGCATCTAGCATTCCTGGATTTGCAGAAGGCCTTTGACTGTGTACCTCGTCAGTGTATCTGGTGGGCATTGCGATCCAAAGGCGTCCCTGAGGCCTATATTAACATTATCAGAGACATGTACCACGATTCCGCGTCCATGGTTAGGACCGCTGTTGGCGATACCAAACCCTTCCCGATCACTGTAGTGGTACATCAGGGCTCAGCTCTTAGTCCGTTCTTGTTCAACGTAGTGCTAGATGTGATCTCGGTTCACATACAGGACCAGCCTCCATGGCTGATGATGTATGCCGATGACGAGAGCCGGCTGGAACTGGAGCGAAAAGTAAATCTCTGGAAGGGTACGCTTGAGAACGGCGGTCTTAAACTCAATGTGGCGAAGACCGAGTATATGGCTTGCAGGAGTTCGGACTCTAGCACGATCCAAATAGGTTCTGAATCAGCCGTTAAGTCGGAATCGTTCAGGTACCTTGGATCTGTTTTGCACGAGTCCGGAAGTATCGACCATGATGTCCAAGCCCGGATACGCGCTGCTTGGGCTAAGTGGCGAGAGGTCACAGGTGTGGTCTGCGACCGCAGGATACCACCCAAGCTGAAGGGACAGGCTTACAAGAGCATCATCCGACCTGTACTTTTGTACGGTAGCGAGTGCTGGCCAGCGCTATCTCGGCACACTCAAGAGCTTCACGTCACGGAGATGAAGATGCTAAGATGGATGTGCGGTGTCACGCGTGCTGACCGCATACGTATCACATTCATTCGAGGCAGTCTCGGGGTCCGTGACGTAGCGGATAAGCTCCAAGAGCGGCGGCTGAGATGGTATGGCCATGTCGCACGCCGGTCGGAAAAATATGTCGGAAGGATATGCCTTGATATGCCTGTCCCGGGAGCTAGACCTCCTGGCCGCCCAAGGAATCGATGGCTGGACGTTGTGAAGCAGGATATGAGAGCCAATGGACTGACCCATGAGGATGTCGAGGATCGGGCAAAGTGGAGGAGATTAAGTAGGAAAGCAGACCCTGGCAATTGCTGGGATAAATGCTAGGTAGAAGAAGAAGTAATTTGTATCTAAATGTAATTTCCAAAATACACGATTTACCAAAAAAAAAAAAACAAACTGAGCAAAGCTCGGTCCTCCGGGTACTGTAATCTTATACACCGATAATACCTACTTAGAACAGTTTGATTTCAATTTGACTGATGTATGTTTTTATTAATTTTAACTAACAAAAATCTGGCTTATTTTATAACAAGTTGTCTCCATACCATATGGCCACGCTTCCTTTAATTTTACATTATTGAAACGTAATTTATTATTGACCATTTGAAAAAGTGTAGTCCTATTATCAAGCTGCCATGTTTTCAAAGAGAATACTATATCTCTATTAAATTTTAAGTTCAACAATAGGCCCGCAATCCACCAAGCTACGCCAAAAACTGTCCTATATAAAATGAAATCTAGGGCTACTTGATTTTCATTGCATTGGCTTATAAGAAGATTTACAGAAAAATTGTTATTGTGAAGTATTGTTATTTTTACCTTTTAGTGGTCGCCTAGTGGTCGAAATACGACCATAATTAATTATACATGGCAGAGTGTGTAATGTTTCTTTTTATTGATTGATTAATATACTTTTGTGCATAATTTGAAAATAATATTACCTTAAATTTGACTGGGCTGGTCATGTCTGCCGCATGACTAAAACCTTTTGGGCCAAATCTGCTACCGAATGGGTCCCACGAAATGTAAGATGGGCACGCGGCAGACCCAGAAGGAGATGGCGCGAAGAACTGGAAGCATTTACGAGGAGTAGTAAGTTCGTCACACAATATTTTTCCAGTAGTGGGGATCGAACTCACAAACACTGGCACAGGCGGCAGGTACACTAGCCACTATGCCATTCGGGTTAAATATAATTATAGACGTGGACCTCAATGAGCAGTGTTAATTATTTAAATGGTGGTCAAATTATCCCATAAATAAAAGAATATAATTTAAAAACTAAAAAAAACTGGACTGTCTTTCTGTGTAATTTTTTATTTTGATATACCCAGTGTGACTCTCAGTAAATACGAATCTAACGTCACCTCTTAAGCTTAAATCCATCAAGCCGTTCCATACATACTCTCTAAAAACAAAACCCTCCTTCTGGCGCAGTCGGTTAAAAAGGAGAGAAACTACTACGATGTTCAGGAGAACACAGACACAGAAAAATTGTTGCCTAAAATTAGTGGAGACTATACGAACCGAATGATGTACAGTCTCGAAACTAGTCAAAAGCTACTTCTCTGTAATCTTAGTGCGAAATACAAGCTGAAGTGCATTGATTTTCACGTAGAACAGAGCGAACACTTCTCGAAGCATGTACACTAGATTGCAGTTTGTGCCGAGGTCGTGTTTAGTTAGGAGAATATAATATTCACAATACATTACATGACTGAAAACATGTCTCGCTATTATAAGATAAATAGTTTTGAAAAATTGAAAGACAAAATGTGTGATTGTAAGAGAAAAAAAGAAATCTTTAACTCTGTCGGATGAAGTTTTCAAAGCTGCAGTAAAGACCTGTAATGTATTATTGCCATGATCAACCTTATGGGATTAGGAGCAACTAAAGTTATCATATCAACCTATTTTATAAATCAAAGTTTTACCAATGAAAATCTCAGACTTTTATAATCTTTCCAGAATAGATTCTTAGTAAACGAAATTTAATGAAAGCATATCACTGCATTAACAAATGAGTTACGGTCGTAAGTATCGGAGCGGTTCTCACCGCTTCCAGCCCCTAAAAAACCAGTACGGCAGCCGATCACACAGTCTGCATACAACAATCACCATTGTTTTATATTAGACATCTCCTTTAGAAATAGACATTCTCTTTAGACTTAACGGTACTACCGTTAAACTAGTACTAGACAACTAGTTTTTTCACGGGTTCTGTGATCGAGGAAGCTACGGACTGAATGCGTAACATCTAACACCAAACTTAAGATAGAGTCGTAGGCTTAACCATAGTTTCCAATCTCCGTCCATGTTCAGCACATGGGTACGCTACTCCTGGTAAATTCATCCGGCATTGAAAACAATAATTGAAACGGATATTTAAGTTTGTCTGGGCGGCATTAGCAAATGAATGTTTTGTTTTTTAAACATAATTATTTTTTCATAGTTAGAAGGTAGCTTATTATATTATGTTCTATATTAAATACCTCGAGACAATTTTATTTCTGACGCCATCTAAACCTACATTATAATTGAACCGACAAATGAAAGCAGCGTAACATTTTTACTAAATTTTATTTTGCAGTTGCCTGAATCTTCTGATACTGTTGGCCATTGCTGCCAAAGTACGGGGTCAACTGGGCAAGTGTGACCAGACCCCACCGCAGACCACGGCTTTGGAGCCCAGCGAGAACAAAGGATTGTTCAGACTGTCTGTCGTGAGAAGGGACAACGATACCAAAAACGTTTATTTGCCCGACCAGACGTATGTCTGTAAGAGAAAATACTTTAAGTAAAATAAGAGGTTGTCAATAAGTGATGTAAAAGTCAAAGAAAACGAATTCAGACGACATGTAGTTTAGCTAATGATGCTTACCTTTAATTAAAATGACTGCATGAATGGACCAATATCTATATGTACATTACGCTGCTCTTTTGCCCTATTGCGGGTTAGATCCCCAGACGCGTCAATAAGCTGTTAATAGCATTGGAGTTTCGGTTCAACCCTTTTCCCTCTTTTTCTTGCAAGGAATTTCTTTTTTACATGCAAAATTTCAGTGAACTACTAATTATTTACCATTAAAGGCCATATTTCCACTTACCACCAGATGGGATGGTGTCAAACATTTGCAGTTTCTTAAAAATACAAAACCTTGTTTAAATTAATTTTCAAAACTCTTCTTAACACTTTACATTAATATTTACTACAAAATATACAAATGTTCAAATTTCGAAACTCACATCATTTCTAATCTTTATTAAAGTATCCTTGATTGAAAAATGGATCTACTATTATTACTCGATCGAACGGATTGAAATTATTACTCGATTTTTTACGATTTCAAATGACAAAAATATCGATATAACCACAGGAATCGTTTATCAATATTTAAACGATATTTATATGTTTAGGCTTAATGGAACCGCGTACCGTTGTTCTGTTCTGTGTTTGCAACAAAATGCAAAATGACCGCCTAACTTTGTGTTTATTATAGGAGTTTAATCTCGGACACGATCCGGAAACAAGCGGTTTGGGGGTTTTAAAATGGACAATTGCCAAAATATTGTCTGAAATGTTGGTCTTTGAAAAGCAATAATAGTGGATACAAAATTTGCAATTTTGTATACCTTATAATTTTTTGCTAAACGCTTATACCCTCAGGCACCTGTCTCAAGTGACTTACACTGGGTATTTTAGTTTAAAGAAACGCCTCAAATTTTTTTTTTTTGCATTAAAATATCTTTATAATTTTTAATGCATGTTATACAGGAATAATGTAACTTTATATAGGTGAAAGAATTTTTAACCTGTTTTTTTTTAATGGTTAAGCATATTTAGATCTTATAACTTACAAATAATTTTAGAAAATTACGAACAATCACATCTTTCCACTTATTAAAATTAATGTAGACGTCGATAACGCTCCTGAAAAGCTTTTTCTACATCACAGGTTTACGAAAGATTTTGCCGTCGTGTGGGAATTACAAATCAAAATTAAAACGCGACAACATCCGTGAAAAATTTTCATTTAACATCAAGAATAAAGTCAATTTGATAAATGTATCTCATATAAAATCCATCTGTTTATCTCCAATATCCAAGTCTGGTTATCTCCGGCCCGTTGTAAATGTATGAACATTTACAACGGGCCAGAATGTTATGGGAATCTTTAGGATCAATCTACTTACTGCTGTCTCTTTTTATACCAGTCAAGTTTTAGAGGCTACTGTGAATTTTGGCGAAAAGAATATAGAATGCTATAATAAACAAAACATGTCTCTACCTACAGTAATTCTCGAGACAACGAACAAAACACGACCATTTCGATGGTTCATGATAACGGTGGAGGACCCTGAGGTGGACAGCACCGTCAATGAGTTCGAGCAGCATCCCGTGGATGTAGGGAGCCTAAAAACGTTGGCCACCAACCAGCAGTCGCGGTACAGTGAGAAATGCTTCAACTCAGTCGAGAGCGCTGATAATTCGGACAAGGAAACGGTTGAGGTATTGACTCCGTTAGGTCAAAATAAATAGTTTTCGTGGATAGCAAACTATTTAACCAACTTCGTGTACCTTAATTATATAATGTAATACAAGCTAAGATGAAAGCCATTTTTTTTTTCTTTATTAGGTCTTCAAAACACAAAAGTGCATTCTTCTAGATGTAGGCACAACATGAATTTAAATCGAACAGAAAAAGGGCGAAAATACAACTTATCTTAATAACTAATATAAACAGAGATTAAATTTAAATGGAAAAAACTAAACAAAAAAGAAAACTAAAAAAAAAACAAAATAGCTTAAACAATAACTAGGGTTAAAAAAAATTACTATTAATGAAGAACCGTTGACTTATTGTAGGGGAAGATTCTTGTCATGAGGGATTGATATTAATCTAAGCTTTTCGTGATCATCATCACGTCATATACAATCCTTAACGTATCTGAAAAAGCAAAAAAAAAATTTATATATCTTAATTAGATTCATTGGGTGTCACCGAAGAACAGCCCAAAGCAGAGAGTGAGGCTGCGGGCGACGGTGGCGGAAAACCAGGAGATGTGGTACTACGACGACGACCTGACCATCCTGCTGAAGAAGGACGACCGGAAACCACTGGACAGCGCACCGTACCCCACAGTAGAAGCGTGCAATCTGAAAAGCGAAGCACGTTACGAGGTGAGCCTTACTGCGTTGATGTGGAACTAATGATAGTAACCTTAAATTTGAAATAATATCTATTATGCATGCGTTAACTGACGCATGATTAATTAATGGGCCAGTCATGAGAGCCGAGATTCTAAACCAGTGTCCTCATAGAACTACACAAAGTGGTGCAGGCTTACTCCCGACAGATTCGAGTTCTGAATCAATCGAGTTTGACGCCAGCGCACAATCGAGTAGTGGCTCTAATTGGAATTAACTAAATTCGAATAATTTTTCGGAAAAACCTATTAACATTTTATCTAAAAAAAGACGTTATAACGGTGAACATGGAACATTTGTCTGTGACGTAATAGGACGGATGCAGTTAACGGATTTGATAAAGCACGATGTTATTTCTAGTTTCTATTCGGTTCGGGAGTAAGCTTTTCAAATCGACTTCGAATCAAGAGTGAGTTCGAATCGAAAACAAAAACAAATTCGAATCGAATTTGGGGAGTAAGACGGCTGATAATGAGAGAGACCTAAAGTCCAGAGGATATTGACCCGAAAATGGAAAGACAACTTTAATGTTATAAAATCTTCCAAAATTTTACCTAGCAATAGTTATAATTTGTGTCTGTGTTTGCCTTTTTTAATAAACCGGAAAACGATAGGTTAATTGTAAAACAATATTGTAAATCGTATAGTATCCATTCGGTTCGGCCATATTGCAAATATAAAGGATACTACGTCAAATCGGACAAGTGCCAACAAACAATACTCTGTTGTGTAAAGACACGTCCTTTCCAATATGGAAAAGTTATTCGTGCCATAACATCGCATAACGTGTTTGTCTTGTGATAAATTTAGTCGCTGGCAATGCATTTTGGTGCGAGTCGTGTCCGCTTTTAACATACTCGAGTAACCTAAGTTCCAAGTCCCGTTGCTAGCACCTATAAAATTTTGAATTGCAGTTTTAAGTGCTAATTTATCGCGTACTCATAGGTGGCCGAAAATATCGAGAAGAAAACTTAAATATTTAAAAAAATGCCTGCCAAAAATCGGTGAGGTCCTTTGGTGGACTATGCCCCTGTATAGGGGAGGCTTTTGCTCATCATTTCAGCCTGTTTGAGTCCACTGCTGAACATAGGCCTCCCCCATAGACTGCCACGAAGTACGATCCTGAGCCACCTGCATCCATCGACTTCCCGCACATTTGCACAGGTCGTCACTCCATCTAGTGGGGGATCGTCCCACACTGCGATGGCCAGTACGAGGCTGGCCACTGGATTCCATCGAGAACCTTTCTTCCCCAACGGTTATCGGTTCTACGAGCTATGTGGCCGGCCCATCGCCACTTCAGCTTGCTAATCCTCTGAGCTATGTCGGTCACCTTAGTTCTACTGCGGATGTCTTCGTTACGAACTCTATCACGCAGAGAAATACCGAGCATAGCCCGCTCCATAGCTCGCTGAGCGACTTTGAGCTTCCTCATACGGCCAGCAGTGAAGGACCACGTCTCGGTTCCGTAGGTCATCACTGGCAACACACATTGATTGAAGACTTTAGTCTTCAAACATTGAGGCTTTTGCTAAGCAGTATAATATATTATAGGCTATGACTGTCATATTGTAATTATTATTCAATGCGGTTTTCCTATATCTAGTTATTATACATTCTAGTTTCAACTTTGAAAGAAAAAATCTTTTTTGCAATTAAAATATTTAAAATGAGCAAAATATTCGCACACTATCAGCGACGTAGATTTTAATTTTCTATCTTCTCATTAAGTTTCGCATTTTAATATGTTGATATCCATCAACGGCTGAATGTAGATCAAGTAAACATTGGTAACCTAAATGCAAGATATGGATTTTTTATGTTATTTCCCAACCTTTAAGATAAATACGCTTTAATGAAACTATTTTTATATACATCAATGCCATTTTACATAAAGTATTCAACTTACTATTATAAAACAAAGATGTTTTTATGTTAGATGGAGGCAGGAGAGCTGGTGGTTCACCAGCGTTAAGCGATGAACCCTACGGGTGTTGCAAATGTCAATTAGAGTGGCGGTGGCTGCCCATGGACATTTGCAACACCCGTAGGGTGGCAGATGCGTTGCCACCTTTTAATACAGTGGGCCCAGGCTACCTCACTCACCAGACGAAACGCACAAGTAGCACTTTTATTTTATGCCGGACTTCTGTGGCCCTGCCTTTTCGTGCAACAGTGAAGACTGTTGCGTGGCCTTGTAGCTATCAGACACGAAGTCCGCAGTAGGGGTGCGAGGTGGATTACCTTTACCTTGTACATTTTTTGGACACAATTTTACACAATGTTCTCTAGTCCAAAACTAAGTAACGCTTGTACTAGTTAACTGATAAACATACTTAAAATACTTTTCTCTTATAAATGAATACATATTATACAGATATAAACACTCAGATATTGGATAAACACGATGAATAAAAATCACACAATACTTTTGCAGTGGTTGGGATCGAACCCGCACCCTCTAGCGCAGGAAGCACCCACTACGCCACTTTACTACTCAGCCTATTCGGCGTGAAGTGGAACATGCACACTTGTATGCAAACTATCATATTACTAATCACTTAAGGGTATCATGTTATAAATAACTAGCGACACGCCCCGGCTTCGCACGGGTGCAATGTACTATACATATAAAATTTCCTCTTGAATCACTCTATCTAGTGAAAAAAAATCGCATCAAGATCCGTTGCGTACTTTTAAAGATCTAGGCATACATAGGGACAGACAGACAGCGGGACGACTTTGTTTTATACTATGTAGTGATGTGTCGCGTTTTAGGTAGTGTTCAAAGGGCGCTGGTCTCGTCTCACCCACCCGCGGCATTACCCGAGCAAACCGGATGAGAACGGCTTCAGCCACATGGTCGGCGCCTCCCACGGGTTCGACTTCACCCTGTGGCAGCATGGTACCCCAGCCAGCCCAGGGCTGAAAGCGCTGGCAGAGGATGCCAACATAAGCATCATGGAAAGGGATATCATCAACAACGTAAGTAAACTATCTCTCCCATTAAGTTCTTTTCCATTGTCATTTTTACATTGACAGACAGATGTATTTTTTGGCCAACTGTTTTATCCCATCAGTGACCTTTTTGGCCGAAACTTATTCTATGGTGTATACAACGGAAATTATGTCCTTTTGCGCGATAAAAAGCATTCCAAAATACATGGTTGTTCCGCTCCCGCATGAGAGAAAGTCAAACCGACAAACCTACAACCTATTGTATTAACAATATTTTTACAAACTTTATTAAAACTTGAGGGCCGTGATAGCTCAGTGTCCGGGCCTCGCCTTTAATTCAATATACTCGAGCAACCTGAGTTCGATCCCCGGTGCCGGCACCAATGAAGTTTTTAACTTTAAGTGCTGACTTATCAAATGCTCCGCGGTGAAGAAAAACATCGTCCGCCAATCCGCAGTGGGGCCGCGTGTTACTTTACTTTACTTTTTTTATTAAAACTTGAGCAATTAGTCGTGAGACTGGTATAATTCTTGATCTATTTTAACTGCGGTAGGGCTACGTAATAGTATTCGTTGTTGCATGAATAGGCAGGCAATCTTTATCAATTCAATCATTATATTAATTCGGTTTTAGTTCGGTTAAAATTTAATTCTTTTATTTCTTAATAAAACCGAGAACTATTACCTTATATGTAAAATTCCAGAGGGCTTGGGTGGAATGGATTAGAAAAGAGAATTTTTTTATTTAACATTATTTATCATTGACTCTGAAAACCGCTGTCAATTTGAATCTGTCAGAAAAATTTGTCGGTTAGAGTTTAGTAAAGACTTTTCTGCCCGTTTCATATATCATTTCATTAGTCATAAAGGTGCAATAATAATTTAGATTACAAAGATAAAGAAGAATGTTATGCATTTAAATCGTAAGAGCAATGAAATAATTCGCTAAGATTCGCATGCAAATGATATGGAATTGTTGGCGAATAGCCCGCCGTTTCGCATTAAGGTGCCTGAGAACTTCAAAACTAGGTTGTTCAGAAACTTTCTAGCTAATAATTTTTAATAATTATTTTGTTTGAGTGTCTTACAAATAGAATAATAATCAATTTTAAATAAACCTCCTTGAAAAGATGACTAAATCTGCAACTGTCTTTATTTTAATAGTTTTTACATCATAACCTCAATTATCGTCAGATTATCGCGTTGATCGACGTTTCAGTAGCTTATCGTTTATCGTTTCAGTAATCATCCGAAAATCAGCATTATGTATTGGTAAACAATATCCGTTAATATTTACTTTTTTATCCTTCATTGGTATATTTAGGATCAGAGTTTAGAATAAATGAACAAGGAATGTCGCATTAAGAAAGGCTATTCCCGCCCAAAACCGCTCAATTATATAGTTGGTGCCAGACTATGTTAAATAATAAAAGGATTAGGAACTGAGATCCTTTAACAAGTAACAAAACATAGATTTTTTTAAGATGATTTACCCAAAAATTTGTGATCAGGATCCTTTTAAACTTTTTGAGTGTGACTTTTTAGTCATTGCTCGTTTAACGCACGCTGATAAATTCAGTATGAAAGCTGAACAAAGAGTGCATGTGACAGAATGAAGAATCAATATGGCACCATAATTTGATTACAAACAACACCATCTATCAGAAGCTCTTGGAAACGTCAAGTAGTACGCTTGAGTAAGGTCCATATAGAAAGTGAGAGAGCGGACTTGATGGCTATGAGTTGTGGAAGTCAATTGACATCGGATACGGGGTTAGAACGTGCTCGGCTCGGGCACTTTACAAAGGGACGGCGGTGCGAACGGTCATCTTCTTGTATCGAACTTGCTGCGTTTTCATTCAATTACATCGGCATGGTTAATATTTATTTTCGTTATTGTTGATTTTAAATGAACAAGTAAACTACAGTGCTACGTGATAAGTTTTATTTTGCGTGTACCTATGTGGTACATTAATTCATATTTTCTCATACCAACTAACATATCAATATTTTTACATATTAATATATCTGTAGCAGATCACTTGTGGAAAAGACCACGTATTTTTATTCCACTTCTGTACAGTGCTGCGTGCGTACGTTCCTGATGTTGTAATTTGGATAAAAATAAACATCTTCAAACTCAACTCCCGGTATCCCCTTTTCGACTCTTTCAAAATGCCGATAAACCTCTTTTCAATACGAAGTATAAACAGGAATGGAAAAATAAGCTCTTCAACGTTTACTGTGCTTGAATATAAAACAAAAAATATACAATTGTAGGTAATTTATATTGTCAGCAATATTTGACCATGTACACGATATAAAATAAAAATAATAGATATACCTACGAGCTATAGACTTTTGCTTACCGAGTTGTGCGATTATCGAATTTGAATTTTTTATATGAGAAGGTGACAAGCAAGTAAAGGGCTCACCTGATGTTAAGCGATTGTTGCCTCCCATGGACACTACTACCAAAAGATTTCAGTTGCAGATGCGTTGCCAGTCTCTATAACTGCGAAGCCCGAAGACTCCAGAAGAAACGCAAAAGTGTATTTTTTACAATCAACGCCGGTCTTCTGTGATTTTGCGGTACTTTATCGGACAAATCTGTCTATTCCCGGAATAACAGAAGCTTCTACGGGGTCCTACCAAAGTGGATTTTAAAAAGACAAATATTCGAGAATAAAATTATATTTTAGCTATTAAATATCTATTTTGTAAATTTAATACAAAAAAATTACTCCATAAATGAAGGTTCATTGTTTTATTTCGTACTAGCGACCCGCCCTGGCTTCACACGCGTGCTGAATGTTTGTTATCGACATCGCATTAGAAACTTCTAAAATTGTCTGTATTTCTCTACTATATTATGTATGAATTATACATATAAACATTCCTCTTGTATCACTCTATATATTCAAGAAAATCGCATCAAAATCAGTTGCTTAGTTTTAAAGATCTAAGCATATTTAGGGACAGACAGACAGCGGGACGACTTTGTTTTTTACTATGTAGTGATAAAATGTATCATCGACACAATGATTGTTAAATGGAATATAATTTCAGAAGTACCTACTGTTATTGTCCTCGTAGGAAGATACCTACTGTTTACATATTGAAATGTCCAACAACACAACCGAATATGCTCCCTAGATCATTCGATTTCCAGTTATATCACGAACCGCTTCAGTCTTACAATACACGCGAATAAACGCAAAGATGAATCTTTATTGCGAGTCTCGATTTGAGCTCTTACAAAGTAACATCTCACTCATTTCGTCATGCATCTCGCTCTTGCAGAACTTGCGAAGTGGAATCCAATTTCATCATCGGAATTAAAATTTCCTTTCAAAACGTTCTCGCCAGAACATAATGGGGAATTTTAAACATACATATTATACATTAAACTCTAGGAACGTAATATTAATAAAATTATGGTTAGGTACTATGTTAGGTTTGCCAAATAATACTTTATGAAAACTTTTACATCTAAAGAATCTTAAATCTACGTATCCCACGGCATTACAAGAACACAGTTTGTTTGGCCTTTCTTAGTGTTGTTATCCAAATTATCGGCCGATTTGCTTTTAATTTTTTTGTAAGAAGATGGCAAGCGAGCTGTTTCACTTGATGTTCGGCGATAACGGCCGCCCATGGAGGCTTGCAGCACCCGTAGGTGCAGATGTGTTGCCATATTTTAATAAAGTATTTAAACTTCAAAATTCGGAGGGATATCATGTTCCATCATTACGGTGTGTTAAAACTTTATTGTTGAACATAGGACTACCTCGAACATTACCATATAGCCAGCTTTTTCCTTTCCCTGCACCTTCCCTGCGCGCAACAATGGTGGACTCAATGAGCCGACTCCTTATGGCGGTTTTTCTCTGCTGCAATGTTGAGGAGCAAGCACCACTGCTTCTAAGCTCCTCCGCAAAAATGTTCGCAGAGGAGAAATCACAGTTCTAAACCATCAGCATCCATGGATCTCATGAAAGTGTAAACCACGTCATTCCATATTATTGCGGGTCAACCTAATGCATGTTAGCTTTTAAGATACTGTCTTTTTCTACTGTCGAATGTCCTCAGTTTCCAATCAAACATCTATTACGTAGAGGAACATTACGCATAGCACCTTTATCTTGACTGAGCCCGACGAGCAACTGGCAACCTCCTACCAATGTCAATAGTTACAATTTTCTAGATGTCGCAAACTGGGGGCACACGGACGCTTATAAGGGGCAGGCGACGTCACCATCCGGAGATGTCCGAGCCTTCGCACGCTCTATTCAGGGCGGATAGTATCCACCACATGTTCTCCATAGCAGTGGCTATGAAGCCGTCACCCGATTGGTTCCTGGGCGCTTCGCGGTTCGAGCTTTGCACACCGTTGGGCTGGTTGAAGGAGCACGAAATGCCGCTATACCCCTGGGACGCGGGAACTATGGACGGTGTCTCTTACGAGGTACAAATCATTAGAACTTGTATGAGATGGTAGCAACGAAAAAGCGGGTTTCATCTGATGGGAACCAACACACGTGAATGGAAACAAAAGAGGATATAGTAAGGTGCAACTGACGATCTTGAGAATTGTCTTTTTCGCTTACCCCACTCATCAGATGAAACGCAAAAGTATAGTTACTTCTAGTCCACAATTACAGTCTTCTATGAGCCTCTCATACTTGACCGCTGGAAAACCACCAGAAGCTACTAGAAGAAAAATGTTTTGCCTTAAAAAGTATAGGACAAAAAATTTTTAAACTTACCAATAATTGTTAGGTAATATTTACTTCAATTTTAAAAAGTGAACTCGGAAAATGTTTCACAGAAATCTTTTTAGTTTTGAAATCATAGCACATTGATATTTTCAGAACTCTAATTAGTGCCTGCTACAAAGTGAATAGTATAATAAAGTACAAGAAAACAAAATCAACGCGACGCTCATAACTAAGCTTTTTGTATTTTAATTGTTAGTATCTAAATAAGTATTCTCTTATAGAACTACGTAATTATCCATATTCCTATTATACTAACAAAACCTTGAATACAATGTAGCTAGACATAGTAATTAATATATTTAGCCTCTATTTTGGTAAGTCAATAACATTGTCTGCTCGTATATAAGCAGTAATGTTTTTCGCGGACAATTCGTTTTGTTTCTTAAAATAATCAGCATTTAGACAATATTCCACCATGACCGATTGCCAGCAATATCTATGGTTATATAGGTCACATAAACAAGCTTTGCTTTGATTTTTTTGAATTTACCTTGGATTTCTCGATCGCTTGTTTGTATAGAACTTCTCTATCTATCTATACACATAAGTCTTCCACTAATAATAAAATAACTATCCCTCCTTATTTCACTCCCTTTTTAATTAACACCTAAACATTCAAGGCTATGCTTCTAAGGAAGTCCTTGCGTGACAACATAAGACAAGCACGGACTAAATATTTCTTTATAAGATTGGTTTATTGAGTATTTTTTGTTAAGTATGCAAATGACAAATCAGATCTTTGTTGTTTTCTTTATTTTTTTAGCTTTCGCTCCAGTCAAAACTGATGTTTATACAGGGTGGCTTTTCTAAGTGTATCCATTTTATTTTATTAAATTCTAGACATAAATAATGTTATATAAAAAATGATCAATATTTAAAATCACTCTTAAGTAATTAATTACATTAATTTGAACTTATCTCCAAAAGTGCGTGATTTATAAGCAACTTATTTATTTTAGGCGCGATCATTCATAACTAACACGCACACAAAAAGAATTTTGTTCGTGCACAGTAAAATTTAGGTATTTATGAATGACTACCGCATTGTCAACACTTCCTGTTTTTTAGGGAATAGCATTCTATTTTACTACTACAGTTTTAAAAAAAAAAAACTTTGTTTTTAATAAACGTTTATACTACCGAGTCTGAACCACCTGTGTAAATTTGGGCACTTCTCAAAAAATCTCCCTGTATATTGTAAGTAAGAATATTTGTGTTTAAGTGTTGTATATTGTTGACAGTCGCCGAAATCGGTCACGAATCCAACGGACAACATCGACAGAGTGGAAATAGGCTCGTTCAACAGTGAATCGCCTTTCTATCAAATGAATTTGAACAATCTGAAACCCTTTGCTTACCTTCATGTGAAGAGGCTCGCAGTTTATCCTATAAAAGGGAGTAACTGCAACGATAATGACGAAGGTAAAGTCACTTTGGTTTTATGATAGTCATTAGTTATGTTTTTTTTATGGAAAAGGAGGCAAACGAGCAAGCGGGTCTGGTGGTAAGTGATCATCGCCACCCATGGACATAAACAACACCAAAGGAGTCACATATGCGTTACCGGTATTTGAGATATAATTGCTCGGTTTGTTTTTTTTGATAAATAGTGTATTTTGGAAATTACATTTAGATACAAATTACTGAGTAATGAATTATGCATAATATTTTTCGATCTTACCGACTTAATAATAAGAAAATATGAACTGATGTTTTTCTCAAAATAAAGAACTTTAAAAAAAATAACCAAAAAAAAGAAATCGACAAAAAATTAAAAATAAAGAAAGCAAGCATCTGGAATCGAAAAAAAGGTAAAAAATAAATGTGTAAATGATCGTGACGCGAACCACAGCCGTCTGTTTTGGGGCCGCCCGATTACCGACCGAGCTATTATGACATTTTCTCTTGCGGCGAAATTTACCGTCATATTCGAATTATATTTTTCATTCCCTGAAAACAGGGATAAAAGGACATTTTCTAAAAATGAAACCTAGCTAGATTGATTTTTCGCCCCCGAATAAATAAATGTCATGAAAATCGCTGGAGCCGTTTCCGAGATTTCGATTTTATATATATATATATACGATATAAACGAGCAATTCTTGTATAATATATATATACAAGAATTGCTCGTTTAAAGGATAAGATTATTTAAACGCCTCACACAAACAACAATGTATCAAACATGTTGGATGCGTCCGATGAAGATGCATTCGGTTGATTTAATAGTCTACGGTCTAAAAGCAACGACTTTAGAAAAATTACACATTAATATATTTTATTAGTGTAGACGTGAATTGGCGTTTGTAATCACTTACCATTAGGTGAACTTTTCATGTAAAAAACATCTTTGTTTCATTTTTGTTGCATACAATAACCAAATACATTATTTCACGGTGGTAGGGCCACGCAACACTGTTGCACGAATGGGCAGGTCCGTCCGGGTAAGTACCACATTGAAGACCGGCGTAAAGTAGAAGTGTTACACTTCTGCGTTTCGTCTGGTGAGTGAGGCAGCCGGGGCCCACTTTATTTGAAGGTGGCAACGCATTTGCCACCCTATGAGTGTTGCAATTGTCCATGGGCGGCGGTTATCACTTAACATCAGGTGAACCGCCAGCTCGTTTGCCACTTTGTCACATAAAAAAAATCATTATTTATACATCACCGTCTAATTCACAAAAAATGGTTGTAAGACTCTTTGTAAACTGTACATCTCATTTTACAGATGCTGATGGTATAATAGCTGTGCAGAACGAAGAAGAGACGTAAGTTTTATTAGGTTAGCTTCTTCGCGATATTATTCGTGCGGGAAAACTTCGCCTTCAGTCTACGGCGAATGTGCAGTCTACATTGCATGAGTATACTGCGAAGATCGAGAGAACAAACAATATTTTATGGCGGCCAGTTATTAATGACCTTTGAAATACTAAAAAAAGTAAGAAAAGAACAAAGAAGACTTGAATGAAGAAAATGATGATAAGGATTGTAGATTGAATGATGAAGGATGAATGAAGAAGAAAATGGATGATAACATAAATTTTAGGCGAGTCTCGTTTCTTTTTTAAATCGTCGATTTTACAACAGCCTGAAATATTTTATATTTTCTCCCAAATATCACAAATAAGACTTTCTCTTGTGTCTTTGTTCCATTACGTTGATTCAGCGTCGTTATTTCTAATAAAGTCTCAAATAGTCCGTCACAACTAGGAAGAACTAGTTTAGCCTATGCAAAACTAGTTTGTCCTGAAATCGGGTTTGGCCGGTAACATATACACTGATTTCTCCGAAATTTCCAGGCCAATTTGCGTAGTTCTTTATTCGTTTCATAGTTGATACTGTCATGTGGTTCCATAAATATATGATTTAATCGACTTAACATAAACTCTGGGACGTACCTATAGCGCACTCTAGTTTTAGCCCGTTTTGTCGCTCCTACTCCGTCTCTCGCTAAAGTCAGTCTGTACTCATGCCGCTCAGGAGATTCTTGACTCCCAAGTGACGTAATGTAGACCCGCACTTTGATAAATGATGCTTAACGGACCTCGGATGTCTCTTAATAACGCGAATATTTTTTGCGAACTGCATTTTTAAGCCCAACAGTTCGACAAAGCCTATTGAAAAACTTACGACACTCATACTAAAAAGTATTCGAAATAATATTAAATACGTGTACTACCTAATATGTAATATACATTATATCTAAAATACTTTAAAATAATGCAATGTTTACTTGTCTTTATACTATAGATCATGAACGTACATATGTGTACATATGTACAGAATCTAAGTTTGAGTTTAAAGTAAATATACCAATATACTTAAGTAATGAAAAATAATTTTATATTAAACGTTTCGTCAAAGTATCTACATGAAATAGCAAACGGCTATTCTCTCTAAAATATGCAATAAATTAATTTTTAATTAAATGCCTATAACAATTACAACACAAAAATTTATTTATTTAAAAAAAATTGTGTAAATTTTCCAATTTGTGAAATATTATGTTAAAGTATATTTATTAAAAGTGTCTTAAATCACATACCGGCAAAAAATTTAATCTTATTTAAAAATTTAATCTTTTTTAAACATAATTATACTTTAGGACTCTCCAAAAGCCCCTTTGAGCAATATAAACCTACTAAACCTACTGCGTGCCTCTACCACAGATTAATTAGATTTATTAAAAATAAAAGTTAAACATTTAAAATTATAAAAATTAAAATGTTTCTTTATCAGGGCCGAGGTTGTCGAACCTAGAGTACTAGAATGGTCGATGCAACATGAAGATTCAGGTCGCTGCTCTTTCAGTCAGTGGTACGAATGGTCCCCATGCGTTCCAGACCTGGGTCATTGTGGACTGGGCACGCAAATAAGGATCAGGTCAAGACTAGAAAATACACCAAGCAATAAATATTCGGTAAGTGTAATCATTATTTTTCTCAGCTACTGCAACAGAAGGTTCAAAGCCTATTCGAAAGTGGCGCTTACTAAAACTAGGTAACTTTTCACCGTTTCGGATTGCACGGCTTTTTTACTTTTAATGTCGAGTAGTTAATATGAAAAATATATAAAAATTAATTTTGTTCTTTTCAGGAAACACAAAACTTACGAACGGATAATGGTCGCTGTCAGGAGAATCATCTATTGACGCAGTCCCAAGCTTGTTTCGTTAGTTGTTAAAATTATTAAATGAGTTTTAAGAATAAAAGAAATTGTTTTCGAAATTGATATAGTTCTGCAATTATTTTTATCCCGATATTTCAAAATATATTCTTCATAACTTAAGTTTGTTAAGTTTAATCCAGGATCTCATCGTTTGTTTCGTTTTTTGCGCGAAAACAAACGAGTTTGAGGGATTCTCGTTCGCCGGCCATCATGGCTGAAGGGAACACGTTGCGGCCGCAGCTAGTCCACATTGTTGCGCTATTCCACTATGAACATAGAAACGAATGGCGCATGTTCAACACTTGAGTTGCAACGGACCGCCTCGCGTGCGACCGCAACTTGTTGATTGTTCGCTCACTTCACGTCAGTCTGCCGCGAACGATGCGCGAGGCGGTCGTGTCTCCCGTCGCGTTGTTGTTCGCTCCGTACTTCGAAGTTATTTTACGAAAATATGTGAAGTTTTCAAACGTTTATTTAGGCAGAACCACCGCGACGGACGTGACCCCTAGTTATTAGTTAACTTAGAAAGTCCTAAATAAGTAGTTTTAAGTTATTGAAACTTAATAGGCTTACTCACCTTACCTGTATGCTTCGTCCCACGACTCGTGCGAAGCGGTTACCTTTATCGGATAAACGAACATTTTTCAAATGGATGTGCGTTTGAATTCTGTGATAGTGTGCGTGTTTTGTGTGATCACAAGACTTTTTGAGTGCTCTTCTAAGGCCTGTGACAAGTTCTTACTTTAGTGTCGTGCTCGGTATTGTCTTAAAGTTAAATTAAGAAAATGTTCGCGCGCGGGGGAGAGAGGGGCTTCCTTGCCGCGCTGTTGCTTGGCTCGCTTGCGGTGGCGTCGGCCCAATACACTAAAGGTAGGTAGGTAAAGATGGCTTTGATGTTTTCTTACCTGTGCACGCGCATGGCCCCGTCCTATGTTGTTGCCTGCTCTTTGTTCAACGAACTATTGTTTCACACATAAAGCTACTCATTGTGAATTTGGGATTTTGAAACGTGACGTCATATTTCGTGGAAATTTTTAAATAGCAACGTTGACTTTCTAACGAACAATTCCGTTATTGGTATCACATTACGTGTATCCGGATCTCGGTTACATTCAAATTCAATATCTTATACTTAAGTGTTTATTTCCTTCTCTAGTAATATTCACTTCATTAGAATTGGTAGATAACACGTATTGAGTTAAACATAAAGCAGATATGATTACGCTCATTGCTGAGTAATAAGAAAGGTCTTAAAGAAAGTAGGTATGTAGGTTGGACGTTTATTTATAGTATTCATAACTTTAAAACATTTTATATGCCTACATAGAACTTTATATACAATGTTTGAGAAAATATAAGAAAGATTGTGTCTATTTACACATTATTAATTATCATTTCCGCATGATGAATTTGAACGACAACTGACGAAAATCTTTTCTACCAGAAATTTTCCAAATTATACAAACAATATGTTCATGAACATACGTTTTGTAGTTAGGCGAAAAGTCAGTAGAGATAAGTACCTCCGCCACTTTATAAAAAATACAACGTATTCGTTACAATATAATTTCGAGAAACTATTCAAAAAATAGAAGTACCTACATCAAAATATATTCCAATAGTATGGTTTAAAATATTGTCACACCTTCAAAGACAACATAGGACTAACTTAAGTAAAAATTCGAAACATTAATTCTGGGCTGATATTGGGACTCGGCATGAGTATTTTGCGCTTCGAAAATTAGCTAAGTACGTAAAACTGTACTTTTCAGTTCTCAGTTAAATGAAAGCAATTATAACTTACATTATAACTTGACCTATCCAAGTACACGCACTGTAATAGATATAATAATGTGAGTTATTAAACGTGTGAGAACTATATTATAAGTATTACCTATATTAAGTATACTAATAATAATCAGTATTGTTTTGGTGTTTGTAAATACTCAAATTTTTTTTATCAAGTTATAAGCCTGTAACTATAAAGTTTTCGAGTTTCTTATTTTTTGTTACTTTAATATTGTTTGGAACTTTTCTTTCTACGACGAGTTTTAACGATGGATTTTTTCGTCGCATTTTTTTGCTTTACGTCGGGAATATACAGCAAAATGATATTATCGGTATAGTCTATTCTTTTTTTAAATACTCTAAATCTTATTTAGTGTAAAAATTTTAAAAATATTAAAAGTCGCTATTTTGAAATTAATATAAAATGTAGCTTGGAGAACAATAAAAAAAAAAAAACAACACCGTGTGTAACAAAAATAAATTGTAATTTAACGAAAATATAAAAAAAAAGCACAAAAATGCCAATGTTAAAAATCTTTGATACTTTTCGCTTAAAACATCCAATGCTAAACTTAGTTCGAGACGAGCCCCACGATTAACTTACTTCGATGCAGTACATGAAGTTACGGTTATAAAATTATAGGTTGCCCGCCCAGCCCTTGTAGTTGAGCCACAATAACAGATTGCCAATAAAGCGGTTTGCGTCGGTGAAAGGTGAGCACGAAGCGGGTATTGTTAGCTGGGACTGAACTTGCAATGATTCGTCTCATATACCTGCTCTCTTATCTACTAAACGGGTGTACACGCGAGCAGTTCTAAAACAGACACATACCAATAATTGGCAAACAAGCGAATGTATGACAAATAAAAACAAATAGATAAAAACAAAAAGAAAACGTGAATCAGTTCACGTCACGTCTATTAGTACATTACTAAATATGATGCAAGCCTAATTCACTATTTAGTTCGAGATCCAATCTACTCCGCTGTCTGTCTGTCTGTCTGTCTGTCGGTCTACCACCAGGCTGTATCTCATGAACTGTGATGGAAAGTTGAAGTTTTCACAGATGATGTATTGCTGTTGCCGGTATAACAACAAATACTAAAAGAAAGAATAAAGAAATATTTTAGTGGGGCTCCAATACAACAGATATGATTTTTGCCGTTTTTATTGACAATGGTACGGAACCCTTAGTGCGCGAGTCCGACTCCCACTTGGGGGCTTGTTGACTTTGAGAATATTTTCAAATAGTATCTCGCAACGCAATTCCAATTTGAAAGTTTAATATAGGTATTTGTATTATTTTACTCGCTTATTTAGCCTTTCAACGAAGAGTGCGATGGCCTTACGTCTGTCAAGTTGTTAAATAAGCTCTAGTGGAAAGTGGATTCAGGTGAGCTGGCTTGCCTCAACGATATTTATCTTGTTTTTATTTTCGAAACTAGAACGTGCAAAACGTACGTTTTTATTTTAAACGTATTAACTGGGAATATAAACACATGACTTAATATGAATATGGACAATTTTCAAATACCGTAATCGGTTTACATTATGTAGCCTATATCTAATCTACACGCATTAACCCCGAAATACTGTCAAATTATCCGTTTTTCTGTTAGGACAGTACATCGCTAATAACCACTCCTAATTAATATTTCACTATCTGTGTGCCGTGTACTCGTAGTTAACCTAATATATATTTTGTCTGTGTTATGTTTAGATAAGTCGACCCGAACTATTGTTTACGATACGTATTTGCTTATTCATTCTATGCTAAACAACTTCATTCAAACATCCATTAACTATCCACTAACATATTTTAAACAGCAAATTAAAATAAATAATAACTACCGAGCGTCTTAATAGGATAATACGAGCATGAACATAACTTGATTTGAGTTTATTTGGACTAAGTAAACGGAATGTTAGTAATAACTTAGCGCAAATCCTGAAGAATAATATGAACTATAACTGATGTCTTTGAAGTTTCATAGACACCGGTTCTCCTTACTGAGACTTGTGACGGTAGTCAATCGCTTCCTGGTCGGTCTATTCTCCAAATCCGCATATTTAGTAATAACTAGTAGAGCAACGGTCATACTGCCACAAGTTGCGAGTATAAAACTACGTAAATCTACCTGCGGTGGTTATATTTGACGATCCGATTTGCGTAGTGAATAGCGAATCTGTCTCTTGTGCCAGGGGGTGTGGGTAATTTCCCCACAACTTGAAAATTTTTCCGTGATGAACAGTGTTAGTGTCTGTAAGTTTTAAATATATCTATAAAAGGTATTTATTTACAAAATAAAATATGTTTATGTATGCTTAACAGTTACCTTGTATCCATAGTGCAAGCTTTGCTTGGTTTGTGATAGACGTTGTGTAAATATGTCCTGAAGTATCACTACATAGTAAAACAAAGTCGTCCCGGTTATCTGTCCTTATCTATGCTTAGATCTTTAAAATTACGCAACCGATTTTGATGCGGTTTTATTTAATAGGTAGAGTGATTCAAGAGCAAAGTTTATACGTATAATTCATGCATAATATAGTAGAGAAAAATTGATAAGTTTAGAGGTTTCTAATGCGATGTCGAAAACAAACATTCAGCATTGCACCCGTGCGAAGCCGGGGCGGGTCGCTAGTTTATTAATATTATTTATTTGTATTTTCGCATTCATTCCAATTCCCCTGAGCTTAGCACTTATATCTCGCCCAGCACCTTGCTCATAATGTATGTAGGGTACGCACCGCACGGCATAAACGTTTTTGCCCCGGGCCCACACGGCCCCGTACTAACGGCCCTACAATGCATGCACAAGTCCGATAAAATGCTTTTTCAACCATCGAAACTCGCCTTGTTTTTAACCCGATTCAAAAGGACGATGTTATCAATTCGGAAGTTTATGTATTTTTTTATGTATGTGAATCCAAAAATTGTTCCATTTTGTTAGAGGTTAGGTGGGTTAGGTTATATAAGGTACATTTTCAAGATTTGATTATATTAAGATTTTGTATTATTTTAAACTTGGAAAACTTTTTTAATGCCTGGTTTTTTTTATGGAACATAATTTAAGACAATAGAGACGTTCGTTTATTGCTCCGAAAGAAACCAAATTTATGTAATTCAAACGATACCCGTATACGTGATGAGAGAGATAGCTATATATTTTGAACATGAAAGAGTAGATGAAAACGTTCTCCTAAAGAAGGGAAGTCTGCT